ACCACCTTGCCCCAACCAGCCCTTGGGCTTGGCTTCCCCAGCTGGAGGCTTTGCATCTGGGGGCTGGCCAGGATGCTTTGGGGGGCTGTTCTCCAAATGCTCACAGCTGGGAAGGCTCCAGAAAGCCTGTGTGGCGATGCATCTTCTGAGTGGAACAGCCAGCTCATGTCAGTGGGGAATCATGTGGTTTTGCACTCAGGGAGCATTAGCATACACAACACATGTTGGACTGGACATGTTTGGGAAGCAGCAGGCATTTTTGGAAACCTAGGGGCCTGTGCACGCACACGCCCATTGTCAGCACCAAAATTATTGAGGTCACACTCACATCACAGAATGACAGAATCATAGAATCCTAGAGTTGGAAGAGACCCCCAAGGGCCATCTAGTCCAACCCCCTGCCATGTGGGAACTCTCAATCAAAGCATCCCTGACAGATGGCCATCCAGCCTCTGCTTAAAGACCTCCAAAGTAGAAGACACCACCAAACTCCCAGGCAGCAGCATCTTGCACTGTCCAACAGCTCTTACTGTCAGGAAGTTCTTCCTAATGTTTAGGTGGAATCTCCTGTCCTCTAGTTTGCATCTGTTTCTCTGGATCCTATTCTCCAGAGCAGCAGAAAACAAGCTTGCTCCATCCTTCAAATATTTGAACACGGCTATCACATCACCCCTTAATCTTCTCTTCTCCAACCAGCTCCCTAAGTCTCTCCTCATAGGATTTCATGGTTTCCAAGGCATGGAAGGAAGGAATGATGGGGAGTGGGGCTGCAGATTTGTCCTACAACGGACATCACCTCCATGGATGGAATTATAATTTCCAGTTGGACACTTGGTATAGAGAGCAGGCTCTGGGAAAAGTAGTTGGCTTCCTCCAACTTTCCCAGTTTGGCAGGGACAGTCCCGATGAATCCTCCTGCCTTCCCACTTTTTCAACTGCTTTCAAAATGTCCTGGTTTCTCTCTCCTCCTTCCAATTTTCCCCTTTGTCCTCAGCTTGCTTCCATTGCTGCACACAGAGTGCAAAAGTAGTTTGCATTTTATGAACCAGCAGAAGGGAGAAGAGAAGCAGGCTTAGCCTCTTGCCCTTCCCAGTTGGCTCAGGCAAAAGCAACGTATGCAGCCTTTCCTAGCTTGTGTGTTCTTCCTCACTTATAACTTTTGCCATCTTGACCACACTGTGATGTTGCCTGGCCATATGTTTCCTAGTTTTCCTCTGTGAAATATTGGCAGGTATGCAGAGAGCCAGTGTGGCCGAGTGGTTTGAGTGTTTGATTTCCCCACTCAGCCATGATACCCACTGAGTGACCTTGGGCAAGTCACACTCTCTCAGCATCAGAGGAAGGCAATGGCAAAACTCCTCTGATCAAATCTTGCCAAGAAATATCCAAAGGGTGCTCAACAATGGCTCCTTTTCAA